ATTTTGTTTACTTATTTTCAGACACTATGTCATTTTCATTGACATGTCTGTCCATTTACTTGTTCAATAAACCTTTATTAATATCTATATGCTCCAGATATATGCAGATAAAGACATATTCTCTGTCCTCAAGGAATTTAGAACCTAATGGGGAGAGAGATATTCAAAATAAAAATTATAAAGTGATACACGTATTCCCCTCCCAGGTTTCCTAGGATCCCATCATTTCAGAAGTCCACCCTATCCCCAGTTCTATACCATGTCAACCTATCCACCATTTCCCCACTTACATATTGAAACACTTCTCTTAGTCTAGCCAATGTGGTCAGCAAACTCATTAGTCAACGGAGCCACAGTTTGCCGACCACTGCTCTACTAAGAGGTCATGGTTTGGTTCCCTGTCAGGGCACATGCCCAGACTGTGGGCTCAGAACCCAGTTGGAGGTGTGTAGGAGGCAGCTGATCAATGATTCTCTCTCCTCATTGATATTTCTATCTCTCTTTTCCTTCTTCTCTGAAGTCAATAAAACAATATTTTTAAGAAATGCATCTCTCAGAGCCCGACAGACAAGTGATTCCTCTCTCAGATTTTTTAATTATTTAAAAAAAATTTTTTATTAAATTATTATCTGTGTACATATACCATTGCCCCCCCCCCCATACATACCCTCCCTCCCCAGAATTGTGTGTCCATTGGTTGTACTTATATGCATGTATACAAGTCCTCTCTTAGATTTTTAATGGATTGTTAATTTTTAGGGAGAAGGGAAGGGAGAGGGAGAGAGAGAGAAACATTGATGTGAGTGAGAAACATCGATCAGTTGCCTCACACACATAGCCCGACTGGAGATCAAACTTGAAACCTGGGCATGTGCTCTGACTGGAAATAGAACCAGTGACTTTTTGGTGCATGGGACGATGCTCAACCCACTAAGCCACCCCAGCCAGGACTATGGAGACACATTTTAACTTAGTGGTGTGTGTCACATGGTGGGCTCAGAACTGGTCAGGAAGAGAAAGGTTGAGCAGGATAGAGGTGAAGAAGTCTTCTAAAATTACTACATATGGATGACTTGGACATAATAACTAATTAAGCAGCCCTTGTATTTCCAAAGCATCCATTGAAGATGTATTTTCCCCCAAATCAATGGAGTGGGGAAAGCTTTCTGAAATTTGACTTTGGGGCCTTAGAATTTAGTTATAACATGGCAGACTATTTTTTTCCAGGAGAGGGGTGCTGAGTCTACCCGAGGACTCCTCAACTACCTTCTCTCTCCCTCAAACCAGAGTTCTGTTTCACACAGCAGTGGACCCGGGTGACTCAGTTTCACTGGCCCTGCTCTTACGTTTTCCCCTATCTCCATGGTCACCAATGTGCCAGCTCCCCAAGAATACACAATTCTCTCTCTCTCTCTGCTTGTAATTCTCCTCGCAGAGCCACCTAGAGTGGGAGTCATGTAATTCAGTTCTCTGTCCTTAGGGGTTCAACTAAGTAAACATTTAATAAGCAATTATTAATGTAGCGAACTTCAATGGAGGCTGTAGAGCTTGGGAAAAGGAATAATGCTCTCCTTCCAGGAGCCATAATTGAGTGGGGAAGGACAGAAACTTGGAAGTCATTCTAAAGCTGTGATTCTCGATCCTGGCTGCCCGTCAGGATCACCTGGGGAACTTTGAAACATCCCCATGCCCAGGCTGCACTCCAGACCAATGTAATTAGAGCCCTGGGGTAGGACCCCCAGCGTCAATATTTTTTTAAAGCTCCCTGGGAAAGTCCAGTGTTGCTAAGCTAGAGAACCATTGGTTTAAAGCAGTGGTCAGCCAACTCTTTAGTCAACAGAGCCAAGTATCAACAGTACAATGATTGAAATTTCTTTTGAGACCGAAAACCAGCTTCTGTGCATGGGCCACGGAGTTTCCATCGCTCTGTACGTGCACACCCACACGTGGTATTTTGTGGAAGAGCCACACTCAAGGGGCCAAAGAGCCGCAGTTTGCCAACCACTGGTCTAAAGCAAAAGAAATGGAAAATACTGTAGTAAAGGGCTAACAAAGTGCTGTATGGGTAAGGATACCACATCCATTCTGAATATGCTAATACTCCTGTCCACTGTCTGGCCACAGATGTGGAAAAGATAGGCTCTCATAACCATGAGGAAAAGGTAGGTCAGTTTGATTGTAGGGCATTTAGGAACTATATACTCTGGGAGGTAAAGTCTGCAGGAAATTATGTCTCTAAGGGGAAAGGTGCCCAACAAAGGTCAGCCCAAAAAGGTGACCCTCAAATTCATTCCACTGGCTCTTTCTCACCCTTTCGGGAATGAGGGCATTTTTTTTTTTTTTTTTAACTACCTTGTCTTTCTGAAGAAGTCTTATTCATTCCCACATCCTTTGTGAAGCCGTTGCATTTCTTCCTCTTATCCCAAGCAACATTGGGAATCCCTTTTTCTCTGGCATTTAGCTCCCTATCTGTTTTTAGCAGTTAATTAAAATTATGATAGAATTCAGTTATAATATGGCAGACAGTTTATTTATACATCTACCCTTTTATGGGTCTCCCTTATCTTTGTTTCCTTAGTACCCAGCACCGTTTCTTGTTTTTCTTTGCTGAATAAACAGAGCTGTGGCAATTTTAGGTCAAGTCAGAAAGTCATGCGGTCATCAGGGGAGACCTCTCCTCAGGAATTCCCCAGACCCCCTTGTCCCACGTCAGAGCATCCAAGGGGTAGTGCTGCCAAAACCAGCAGACGCACTGGCATAAAGCAGCTGGAGGGAACGAGGAAGAAGGCCTGGCAGGGCTGTGGTTGCTAGGGGTAAGGTAGACTAGAGTTTCGCCTCTCTTAGCTGAGTTTTGCTCTGAGAGAAACAAGAGGAAGTTGACAGGTTTCTAATTGAGTGTGTTGACTGTGAAGCGCCTGTGCCACATACTCCCATTTTATTTAGGCCACAGGCATCCCCAGTCTGGAGCAGCCTTTTCTTTCTGAAAAAGTGCTTGTCTGTTTTATTTTTAAACTTGAAATATTTTTTTTTAAATTTGCTTTCTCTCTCTCTCTCTCTTTTTTTTTTTTTTTTTTTTTGCATCTTACAGGTTTTACACATAGTAATATATAGGTAAAACGATTATTTCCATTGTATAAGTAGGAGGTTCATACATTCTACATTTTCTAGGACAGTGCTAATTTTAGATCGTATGCTTTGTTTTTAGACTGTGTTTCCTGATTTTTTTTTAATATGGAAAGTATGGTTGCTAGTTTAAAAAAAAATGTTTTTATTGATTTCAGAGAGGGAAAGATAGAAATATCAATGATGAGAGAGAATCATGGATCTACTGCTTCCTACATTCCCCCCACTGGGGATCCAGCCCACGACCAGGGCATATGCCCTCGACTGGAACTTAACCTGGGACCCTTCAGTTCGCAGGTCAACACTCTATCCACTGAGCCAAACGGCCAGGGCATGGTTGTTATTCTGACAACTGACTGTCATCTGGCCAGCCATGTTTAAAGATCCTTTAGCAGTCAAGATGTCTAATTACCTTACATTTCTCTTTGAGAAATTAAGTAGGGCTGCCTCATGGACCACCCCGCGCCCCTTCCCCCCCCAAAAAAAAACACAAAACACAAAAACCCTGAAGGAAACATGGAGCTGGCACTTAGCACATTGTCCTGAGTCCAGACTTTTGTTGCTTGTGGTTTTGTGGTGAGGACGATGTATAGGAAAAACCCTATTCCCTGTACAAATTTGTGCAAAATCCTTTCCAGAGAAATGGATCATTAGGAGCTGTTTATTCATTCCGCCTCTAGAACTTCTGAAACGCTTCTCTGTGAGGTGTCGTCGCAGGAGCCCACAAGGGGGGCACAGGACCTATTGCCGGAGCGCCCTGCCCCGCCCTGGGCCGGAGGCCCCATGGTGCTGCTCTGGTTGTTAGATTCAACTGCTAAGCTTTCTCTTTCCGGTTAATGGACGCAGCCAAATTAAACATCCACGCCCCCACTGCCACCAGTCACCTCAATTTTAATAGAATGGCCCACAATTACACAATCTTCTTTACCTAATAAAAGGTGTAACTTCTTTTTTCTCATGGAATACTACAACGACCAGTGTTAAACTTTATAATATTTTTTTTAATATCGAAGGATCGTAAGCTTTTAAAAAGTTGCTGAGTAACAGTTACATTTGGTTGTTTTTAAGCATCTGAAAGCCTAAGGTTCCTAGTAGCCTGGTTGCATTCTTTAGAAGACATCTTGTACGTTCTTCCTTCAGTCAGTGCGACACTTTATGAGACGATAACTAGAGAACAGCGCCAACACCTTGACAGGTGGCAAGCTATTAGGACATGAGCCACATCACCTTTGGGGAAAGCGGGCTGTTTTCAAATGCCATTAGGTGAGGCGCTCTTCTGGCTCAGGCAGAAGTGTCCTGGTGGCTCCATGGGCTTCCTTAATACTTTTCTGTAATGGAAATGCTGCAGTAAGGACGGGATCCTTCTCAGTAGCTGGCCAGTCTGTGCTCACAGGTTCCTGTTAGCTGTCTCCATCGCTGACAGCTGAGTGTTTCCATGGGCCTGAGTTTTCCGCTCTTACAGCCTCGTTGCTTTAGCCGTTACCACATCCGGGAGCTTCTCACTAGCCCAGAATTCCATCAGCTCCTCCCTTGAGGAGAACACCCTTCCTGCGACTCTCTAACCCTCTGTTATCCCCCATGCGTGGAGGGGACAAGGATCTAATGAGGTGTGGGGCTTGGGTTTGAGTTTTACCACATTTGACTAAGGATCAAGAGAGGGTGAGGCCAGAGAGACCTGCGCTGGGCTCTGCTAAAACAAAAGAGAAACGGGCCCGAGTTTGTTCTGGGTAGCAGTCATGTTTTCCTGCCAATGCACGAGTCCTACTCGTTGGCAAACAACAACCAATCTGAGTGTCCAAATAAGATCGCTAGCCTTAGGAATCAAGCTCAAATGGCACCATTTTAACAGGAGGCTTCATTCTTTTTTTCTTATCCAGAACTAAGAGGAAAAAAATGAATATGGTTTTTGCTCACAGGATGGAGAACAGCAAGCCGCCTGTGGTTATCCCGACACTCCTGGTGCCCCTCCACAACCACAGCTTCCCTGACACGGCCACCCCTCTGCCGAGCCACGACCTGGCGGAATCACACGAGGAGCACAGCTGGAGGAGCAACAGGACAGACCTGCAGTATGGACTGAAACCCGGGGAAGTGGCCACGGCCAGCGTTCTGTTTGGGGCCCTGTGGCTGCTTTCTGTCTTTGGCAACTCCCTGGTCTGTCTGGTCATCCACAGGAGCCGAAGGACCCAGTCCACCACCAACTACTTTGTGGTCTCCATGGCGTGTGCCGATCTCCTCATCAGCGCCGCCAGCTCGCCTTTCGTCCTGCTGCAGTTCACCGCCGGGAAGTGGACGCTGGGCAGCGCCCTGTGCAAGATGGTGCGCTACGTGCAGCATCTCACCCCGGGCGTCCAGATCTACGTCCTTCTCTCCATCTGCATTGACCGGTTCTACACCATCGTCTATCCCCTGAGCTTCAAGGTGTCCAGGGAGAAAGCCAAGAAAATGATTGCAGCGTCATGGATCTTCAACGCAGCCTTTGTGACCCCCGCGTTTTTTTTCTACGGCGCCAGCTGGGACCACCATTGTAACTATTTCCTCCCTTCCTCGTGGGAGGGGACTGCCTACGCTGTCATCCATTTCTTGGTGGGCTTTGTGATCCCATCTGTCCTCATAATCTTGTTTTACCAGAAGGTCGTAAAGTATATCTGGAGAATAGGCACTGATGGCCGAACTGTGAGGAGGACAATGAACATTGTCCCGAGGACAAAAGTGAAGACGGTCAAGATGTTCCTCATTTTGAACCTATTGTTTCTGCTCTCCTGGCTGCCTTTTCATGTGGTCCAGCTGTGGCACCCCGAGGAACAAGACTATAAGAAAAGTTCCCTTGTGTTCGCAGCCATCACGTGCATATCCTTTAGTTCTTCAGCCTCTAAGCCTACTCTGTATTCCATTTATAATGCTAGTTTCAGGAGAGGAATGAAAGAGACCTTTTGCATGTCCTCGATGAAGTGTTACCGCAGCAATGCCTATACTATCACCACCAGTTCGAGGATGGCCAAAAAAAACTATGTGGGAATTTCAGAAATCCCTCCCGTGGCCAAAACGATAACCAAAGACTCAATCTATGATTCCTTTGACAGAGAAGCCAAGGAAAAGAAACTTGCTTGGCCCATTAACTCAAATCCACCAAACACTTTTGTCTAAAATCTCAGAATTCTTTCGATTATTGTTATGCGCCAGAGATTAAAAACTTTAACTATACAAACGGAAGCTATTTATATATTTTTTCAATCAAGTTTCTGAGGGAAATGTTTTCTTTCGTAAAGTGTATTCATTTATTGATGATTCTTTTAATTTTAGTTACTGTTTCACCTTGAGCTCCTTTTACTATACTAGTGACATACACAAAAAAGAGAATGTTTCTACTTTTAATTTACCGTTATATTCGAAAAGCGTAAATCATACATACAGTCTTTGATTAATGAATCAACCTAGTGTTATTGTTTCCTTTTTGTCCTTCCTACTGAAATGCTGTAACTATGGGCTTCTGTTTTAAATGGAATCCTCCCTGTCACACAATTCAGAGGCTTGTATTTTTTTTTTATTAAAGACCATTTAGGAAGTGTTAATATTGTAAATGTTTTTACATTACCTTTTTCTAAATAATCACTGCCCAGAAAGCACTCCATGTACAGTATTGGAGATATACTGGAACTGCTAGACAGTCTTGTGTGACTGAATTTTAATCAGGATTTGTAGGGAAAGTTTATGGAGTTGTTTAATCCCTCTTTCTCTCTTTCTCTCTCATTTTCACTTCTCTTTAACTTAGGCATTGGATGATACCTTAAAAACTTGAAGTCAATAGGATGTTTTTCTCACACCCGTATCCTATCTAGGTTGTGTCTAGGACATTTACTTTCCTCCTTTGAGTTAAACTCAAGCAAATAGGCTGGTGCCCTTGCTAGGCAGCCCCAGAAAATGCCAAAGGGAAGAATGACAGGTGGCCCTTTGGCTGCCTGGCCCAACCCCATTCCCCAGGACTGCAAGGGCAAGGAGCACCTTCTTCAGGCATGAGGCCTTTTCTCCAGCCAGCCAGTGCCTGTTCCTCACATCATTGTACCCTCCCAAAATCAACTCTTCTTTGCCTATGATAACTTGAGATTTTCTTCTCTGGCTTGTAGGTCCCTTTTATTTCTAATCTAGGACCAATACAGTTTTCAAGCGATAAAGGGCTTACAGACAAGACTAGTATGCATTTTCACATCCTAGTTACCAAGAGCTGCAAGTAAATAATTCCAGATGTTCTGTGATTTTGCACTATCTCATTTGATCCTCTCAAGAATTCTGTGATGTACTTATTATCCCCTTGATGTTTTATCCACGAGGGTACTGGGACTCAAAGTTCTGTGGCATATTCAAGTCGGCGTGTGACAGAGCTGGTGCTCACGCTCAGGTCCCGAGAATGCAGGTCGGTTGCTCTTTCCTTGACATTACAGCAGTGTCTCTAGAGAGCACATGAGCAGCCAAACCCATCCAGGCCTCCATAAGCTTTCTGGCTACAGCTTTGGTGGAAGACTACGGTCTAAGAGAAGCTGGCCATTCTTAAAAGGAGAGTCTAGATGAAATGTAATGAGCTGGCCCTCACCTTTTCCTTGTCTGTGGATAGGTTCCTGGACTTGTAGTGCCGAATTTCTGAGACACACAGAGAACCCTGTACCTTCCCACCTCACCAGACACAGGGAAACAAGACGAGATTGGCTTTGATATTTGAGTGAAAGAACAACAATAAAGCATTTAACCTGCAAAATATTTATAGAGCCGATGTTTATAAGTGGTGGTGCTTCCTTCAATACATTCAAAAGTTAAAAATGATAGCTATATTTTCCTTCCTTTTCTTTCCCCTTATATTCTTATTCCGTGAGCAAATGGCACTCTAAAAATGACAAAATGAGGCCAATGTTTATCTCACTTGGTCCTTGAATTTGATAAACTTGTTTAAAAAAAAAAATAGAAGTGATTTTATTTCCTGCCCTTTTAAATGGAATATTATTTTTTAAAGTTAGATTGTAAATAGTTAAACTTAATTCATTTTAATTTATTCTTATGTATATTATTGGTCTCAGTTTAAATGAAAAGAGACCAGAAAATTGCTAAGCTCTGTCCTGTCTCTAATGTTCTATGAGTTTACCCAGTAAGTAGAAATTCAGTGAGACCATCTCATAAAAACTCTTGTCATAGAAAAGTACTAGTTTTTAAATGCCCCCAAGTAATGACAAATTAAAGTGTTAAATTATAATCGAGAGAGCACCAAAATCTCATGACCTCTGAAAATACAGCTATAATCTCTCAGCATGTTGATAATTCATTATCTTAGTTTAGTTTAATATATAGTATTCCTATTATCTCACATAATCCTGAAACTGGAGAAAATCAGATAGAATGCCCAGATTGATGAATATTTGCACAAGTACCTTACGTTTGCTTGTCAAGAACTAGAGTTAAGTTGCAGGGAGGCAGGCTTTTGGAGAGAATGAGAGAATTACTCCAGTCTCCTTACCAGGTACACGATGATGCACACCATGAATCAGATTCATGTAGTCTCCAAACAGGAATTCAAGAAAGTGAGAATGGGGGATGTGGTGGGGTTCATAGTACAGGCACTTTTCCCTGGCCCCAGGTTCCCATAGACTCAGAGGAAGGGAGAGAGGGATGCATCCTTCTTTGAGGTGGAATTTGAATTTCTCTCTTCTCATCTTCAGTGAAAGCATTTGTGTAACCAACCTGCACATCCTGCTCACATATGCTTCCCTGTGGACCTCTGGTTTACCCAGAATGCCTGGAGCCGACTCCCTGGGCCAGAGTTCTTGCTCAGGAAGAACAATTTTACCCACCAGGCATTGGGATCAGTCATTTGCCAGATAAGGTTGGCAGTTTTACCTCTCTTGGTGGGCACAGTCCCTCCCTTCACCTCTCCAGCTTTGCTGTTACCTGCCTCTATTCAGTTTCAGAGCCACACAACCAAGATCTGCTGGAGTTACTTGACCAGCAACAGCTCTGAGGGTGCATCCCTCTGTAAGAACCTCATGTAAAAGAAGCAAAGAATTAGAGATTTTTAGAGGAGAAGGGATGTTGGGAGACCCTAGCACAAGCCTCTCATTGTTTAGAAGAGGAAATTAAGACCAACAGATGTCAAAGTAGGGGAAAACTAAAATGCTTTCTACTACCAGGCCAATATCCTTTTGCCATCCTTCTTGCCATGGCATGATTCATGTATTGGAGATAAAATCCTCCCTGTGTGTAGAAGAATATGAGGAGTAGAAACAATTCCCTTGCTCATTTGCCTGGAACAGAGCCGACTTTAAGGTGCTGTCATTAGTGGAAATGCAAACCGACTTTGTCAAACTGTTCTACAGAATGGCCGCTTGATGGCACTGTGGCCGGCAGGCAGAGCCCACCACCGCTTCAGATGCCTGTCAGTCACACTGGCTGTTCCAGAGAAGTCTTCGTCTCATAGCAACAAGACGGGAAAATTGCTGAGCTCCCGGAGGCAGCTGCAGATTAACCAATCAATCAGTGTGTCCAAAACACAAAGCATCTAAACATTGGAAAAATTCCAAAATAATTAATACCTTTTATAGACGTGAAGTCACTAGTCAAAATATTATTTTAAACCCACTTTACAAATGGTATCATTAAAAAAACATCAACCATCGGACCATGAAACTGGCAGCTGTTTCACCCACACTTACCAGGGCTTCTCTCTTTCCTGCTCCTTTTATCATTTGACTCTGAGAATTCATGGACCTTTTCATAGAAGTGTAATCTAGACTTGCCCTAAAAGTAAATGTTCGTATGCTCCTGGTTAAGTAGACAGTTAAATTAATTTTAGGTCCGTTTCATTTCCTCAGACCCTCTTGAATTTTTTGAGCCCCTACAATTTGGGCCATTTAAAACTTTTTGCTCAACTGAAAACTTCTAGTCAAAAGCTCTGCGTTCTTTCTCAAAAGGAGTGTTTTTTAAAAGTATGTGTTGCTTTAAAAACCCTGCCAACTGTATATAATTTGTAGAATGTATGATTTTTAGTTCTGCAGGAAAAGGACCCCCACAAGTGCTGGGTCCGCAGTGCTGGGCCGTGTGTAACTTAGATGGCTACCAAAGTAACTAACACACAGGTGGAGACGCTGGAAAAGGGACAATGGACCAAGTGACTCACAGGACGGAGCAGGATGGCATGGATATCATTAAGCTTCTCAGACTGGCAGGCAATTGAAAAACGTATGAATTATTTCTGCAATTCTCCGTTCAGTATTTTCAGATTGTGGTTGACAAAGGGTAACTCAAACCTCGGAAAGTGAAAAACACGGATGAGGGGGACTACTGTATTGCTAAAGAAAGCCTCCAACCATGTACCATTATAGGGGCAGGCATGAGATCACTACAAAGAGTTCTGAAATATGATGCCTACAACACTACATATTTAGATTCTGGCTCATTAAATAAATGTTTATCTTCGGTTGTTTGATGTCTAATAATGGTCAAACCCAGGCATAAGTGAATATTTTAAATTTAATGTAATCTTTTACTACATAAGAAGCAGTTTCTCATAACTTGTATTTAGCTTACCAATTACTTATTCTAGGAAAGTTACCCCTTCATTTTTTAGTTGATTCCAGAGAGAGAGACAGAAAGAGAGAGAGAGACAGAGAGGAGAGAGAGAGAGGAGAGACGAGAGAGGAGAGAGAGAGAGAAAGAGAGAGAGAGATGAGAAACATTCCTCTCCTAGGTGCCCTGACCAGGAACCTTTTGGTGTACCAATTGAGTCACACTGGCAATAGCATCCTCCCTCTTTTGCTAATAGATGAGGAAACAGGCTGAAAAATTAAATAATTTAGGGTGACTCACATAATGGATCTAAGACCAATTTTCTGCCTAAATTTCACTCTTTTTACTATTTTATTCTTATACAGTCACAGTTCAGTATAGTGAAACAGACAATTTGAGATATTTCTGGTGAGGATATTTTATTTTCCATAAAAATATAATTGTACAATGCTCTTCAGAGAAAGAAAAATCCCTTCAATGCCCCCAAATACCATGTGGTTTAACAGTAATCTTCCTCTCCCTTAAATATGTCATAACAATAAGCAACTGATTTATTGTGAAATACAGCATTTATGTTTCCCTTAATTTTAACTAAAGCAAGTCCAGTTTAAACCTACACTTTTTTGTAATAAGCCAAATCAAGTCTATCATAACTCAAAGATGAGAAAAGAAGATGCTAAATGGTGAAGCTGATAAATACTGCCAATTAGCTGGTAAATTGTGATATGAATTTGCTACAATAAGATAGAATCTGATTTAAATACAACAGAAATATTTTAGATAAAACAGGAAAAAAATTTTAAGAATTTCAACCATATCCTAAAACTTGACCTGGTCAGACTTATTCTGTATTATATTCAGTCACCATAGTATATGGCAGGTCTATGCTAAATGAATGACAGTTTATGACTGGCCTAAATATACAAACATATTTCCTCCCTTAACTTCCTTTCTGTGGGTAAAAAAGAAAAAGAGAACATCCCTCTGACTCAGAGAGCGAGGACCGCACTGGCCCAGAGGGACAGAGCTCGCTGATCCTCATCCTCCGCTGGGCCCTCTCGGCCTGCCGTTCCAGGTACGTGAGAGGTGCTAGGTTTCAGTGTGCTGCGCCCTAACTGAAACGGGGGAAGAAATGCTCCAGCTGTTTTAATCAGTGACGTTTACTGACATGCTTCAAGTGGCCAAAGCGTGCAGCGAGCACAATTCCCAAAGTAATCAAAACACTCCTTTTTAAAGCCAAGAACTTTCTCTTGGTTTTGATCTACTCCAAAATACCCAATCGATAGCTTTAGGAGTAATCTCAAATAAATTGTAATTTACTTTCAACCCCAAATTATACATCTTCTACCTGACCTGAGGACAGAGGCACTGCTCTTGTAAAGGTACTGGGGCTAAGGGAAAGGGGGTAGAGCTCAGATAGATGACCCTGTAATTTAAAATTGCAACCAGAGAAGAAATACTTCAAGCACAATGGAGACATTCGATTGAAGAGCCACATTCATTTTGGAATGTTTGTTTGGAAAACAACTCTTCTGGGGAATTCGAAAGGTACTCAACAAAGTAACAGAATAAGTACATCTTGCTTGGGTTGTTTTGCAAAATAAAAAATATACATTTGAGTAGACCAGATGGCAAAACAGACCCATTACAACCTGAACACTATATTTAAAACACTTAAATTCTGAAAGCCTGAATATTAACAATCCTTTATCTATATTTGTGATCCTAAAAAGACATTAAATACTCTGAAACCCTCCTGTCCACCAAAACATAGAAAGACCCAACACTCTGGGCTAGTGGTATATCAGTAGTCGCACAGGACTGGATTAGAGATCTGAGTTTGCAACCTTTGCACAAGAGATCTTTAGGAACTCAACTAAGGGGAGGCACTTTATTCAAATGCTTAGCCTAAGCGAAAGGGGGTGGGGAAAGTACCTGTTATCTGAAACTATGTGGTCTAGCTCATGTTCCTTCTCACAGAACATTTCATAACAAAACATATTTTGTTTGGAAGCCAAGTATTTGCTTCATTAGAGCCAAGGACAATTATAATTTAGCAGCAATAGGGCACACAACTCCTGATTTAACTATGGGAAAGAAAAGAGAGAGACTCTCAATGGGGAAATCAGAAGATTCCTATCCCTAACCGGTTTGGCTCAGTGGATAGAGCATAGGCCTGCAGACTCAAGGGTCCCAGGCCAGATTCCGGTCAAGGTCATGTACCTTGCTTGTGGGCTCATCCCCATTAGGGGGTGTGCAGGAGGCAGCTGATCAATGCTTCTCTCTCATTGATGTTTCTAACTCTCTATCCCTCTCCCTTCTTCTCTGGAAAAAAAAAAATCAATGAAATATATTTTTTAGAAAAAAAGATTCCTAGGTCTATTTGAGTATATCATAGTATGAGGTGGATTCCTCAACCATCCCTCCATTTGATGGTCAGGGAGAAGTGACTGTCGCTTTGATGGGAACTGGAAAGGACTGCTCTGCCCTTGTGCACCTCCTAGTGTGGTGCTGTGCATAACTCTAGCTCCAGTGTTTCACTCCAGCGTGGAGGCATAGCCGGGCCTGAACCAGATGCACACCTACAGTGTGTTTCATTCTGGCTCAGAACACATTCATAAGGAAACTCCTGTCAAGGAACAAAGTAAGTGTTCTGGTTATGGCTACAGCCATTAGGTCTATCAGCAGTTTGTCCCTCATTTTGTTCCAGATCTCTTGAGGCAGAAACTCAATCTCAGCAGCTAATTTCAGTCTATTCTCGTTAGGAAAAATATCCAAGTTAGTTGACTCCACAAGGAAATGTGTGTGAACATTCATTCCTGCCCTCCCCACATACACATAGAGACATACAATAGAAACACATACATATGTATACACCCTGGATTGTCAAGATGATGTATGCTGCTGAAATGCCTAAAAGGTTATTTCTTGTTTAAAAATAAAATTTGAATAATCATTCTCCACGTATGGATTAGGCCCTAGCAAACTGTTATAAATACAGTTTGAGAAGACAGCAACAAAAGTTTTAAACAGAGGCTGTCTTGAGGGCTTTCCTGATGGATGCTGTTAACATGTACATTATTTAAAACAGGCATACCATTATGGATTATAAAAATAGAAATGTATATACTGGTTAATACATATTCACAGCTTATGCTGGAATGGCTCACAGGAGAAATCTTGGTTCATGCAGAAAATAGACGTTACTCAAGTACATATAAAGAAATAAAATTAGGTCCTTAAGGCTAAGAACTTAGTCATCAGCCCATTTGGTTTCTCTTTGCAGGGCAATAAAAAACATGAGAGGAGGTGACACCTAAACACACATACAAATACAATTACATGGAAAGAATATAAATTAACCAATAAAGCAATGTGGAGTTAAGGTGCAAAAATACAATCTTTACCCATTTTTCTCTACTCCTGTGTTTTCAAGCATTGCAACATATCAAATGCCATCGGTGGCAATACCAATCAGAATGTTTGTAAATTTTTCTAAGTGTTAAAAGTTGAAGCAAAATCCTTTGAGATCCAGGATCACACGTTTGGTAGAAACTGCAGATTTACAGAGATGACTGTGGAGCAGTAGGTAGTATATGGAGCCAAGAAATACAATCTTGTCTATTCATCTTTCATAGGAATTAGGATATTTACTTCAATCACTGACTCAACATTTTACAAGATCTTCACCCTGAAAAACAAATCAAAGTTACCAATGTAAGAATGGTTTTAAAGTCAATGAAATTTAGTTAATCTGTTTTAAAATGCATAAAAAATCTTTTTAAAGTTTGGTATCTAGCCCAGGTTGGTGTAGCTCAGTTGGTTGGAGTGTTGTCTCATGCACTGAAGGTCGTGGGTGCAGCTCCTGATCAGGCCATATGCTCGGGTTGCAAGTTTGATCCCTGGTTGGGGAGTGTGGAGCACAGGGGAGGCAACTGATCCACATGTCTCTCTCACATCGATGTTTCTCTAAATATATTTCCCTTGCCTCCTCTCCAAAAAAAATCAATTAAAAAATTTAAAGTTTGGTATCTATAGAAAGGCTATTTTAAAATACAAGCTGAAGGAAAATGGAACCAACTTGCCTTTTTTATTTCCTTAATTCAATTTAGATTAAGCAAACGTTACCTCATCTAATAAAAGTTAAAAACATGCCAATACTTCAATTTTATAAAGTTCTTTTTTTAACAAAAAAATGTTTATGATATTTTCTAATACTATTTCAGGTGCTCCCAAAGCAATCACAATGATGAAGAAATCAATGCCATGACATCTTCATTCTAAAATCTGTATAGTCTCCCTAACAAATGGTGCTGGGACAACTGGATATTCACATGCAAAATAATTAATTTGGAGCCCTACCTCATACTATATAGAAAAATTAACTCAAAATGGATCAATGACCTAAAAGTAAAAGCTAAAACTAAAAAACTCTTAGAAAAAAACATAAGATCAATCTTCATGATCTTGGATTTGGCGATGGATTGTTAGATATGACATACAAGGCAAAGACAATAAAAGAAAAATAGATAAACTGGACTTCCTCCAAATTAAAATCTTTCGTGCACCAAGGGACACTAGCAAGAAAAAGAAAACCTACAGAATGGGAGCAATATATGAAAATCATATCTTTGGTAAGAGAATCCAGAATACATAAAGAACTCTTACAACTGAACAACAAAATGAAAAAGAACTCAATTAAAACATGGGCAAGGGACTTAAAGAGACATTTCTTCAAAGGAGATATACACATGGCCAACAAGCACATGAAGAGATGCTCAACATCATTAGTCATTAGGGCAATGCAAATCCAAACCACAATCAGGCACCACACCCACTAGGAAGGCTATAGTTTTTAAAAATGGAAAATAAAAAGTGTTGAAAAGATGTAAAGAAATGGGAAGCTCCATATATTGCTAGTGAGAGTGTAAAATATTTCAGTCACTGTGGAAAACTGTGTGATTCCTGGAAAAGTTAAATATAGAACTGCCATATGTTCTAGCAATTGCACTTCTAGGTATATATACAAAAGAATTGAAAACAGTTACTCACACACTTGTACATACATGTTCATAGCAGCACTGTTCACAGTAGCCAAGAGGTAGAAGTAAAAATCCATAAATGAATGAATGGATAAACAAGTTGTGGTTCCATATACAAAGGGGTATTATACAGCCATAAAATGGAATGAAGTACCGGTATGAGCTACAATGTGGATAACCTTGAAAACATTATGCTAAGTAAAAGAAGCCAGACACAAAAAGTCACATGCTGGAGGACCCATTTATACGAAATGTCCAGATTAGGTAAATTCATAGACACAAAGCAGATTCATAGCTGCCAGGGGCTGGAGGGAGAGGGTAATAGTGAGTAACTGCTCTAATGAGCTTAGGGTTTTCTTTTGGAGTGATGAAATGTTTTGTAACTAGATAGAGGTGGTGGTTGCACAACATTTTAGATGTAATAAATGCTTCTGAATTGTTACCTTTAAAATGTTAATTTTATGTTATGTGACTTTTGCCTTAATAAAAAAATCCTTTATAGTGATGGGCCACTATATAAGACTCAGCCTGGACTAGGTGAGGACCTGGCACATACACCTCTGCTATTTCTTCACCTATAAAATAAAAAGTGTAACACCTTCACATAATTATTGGAGGAAATACTTAAGTGAAAATACTTTGTAAAATGTAATGCAATATACAAATAAAAGGTATTATTATTAACAATAGCTAGAATGGTATACTCCCATTTATGGAGTAGGTCAACTTAATAAAAAAATATTTCCAAAAATTTATCAGTTGCACTTTATAGACCCCATGTAAAATGCATTTCAGTATTTATAATCTAATCATTTCAATTGCTTATTAGTATTCTAGAGGTCTGGTACACGAAATTTGTGCACAGGGATGAAGGGGGGTCCCCTCAGCCCAGTCTTTACCCACTCCAATCCAGGATCCCTTGGGGGATGCTCAACATCTGATTTAGGCTTATTCCTGGGGATTGGGCCTTAACTGGCAGTTGGGACATTCCTCTCACAATCCGGAACACTGGCTCCTAACTGCTTACCTGCCTGCCTACCTGATCGCCTCTAACTGCCTCTGCCTGCCGGCCTGGTTGCCCCCAACTGCTCCCCCCCCCCCCACTCCAGCTTGGTCGCCCCTAACTGCCCCCCTCTGCTGGCTTGGTCACCCCTTATTGCCCCCCACCCCACTAGCCTGGTTGCCCTTGACTGCCCCTCTCTGCCAACCTGGCTGCCCCCAACTGCCCTCCCCAGCTGGCCTGGCCACCCCACACAGCCTGCTATTCGGTTGTTACTGTGAGGGTGTCCTGACCAATTTACATACTACCCTTTTATTAGTATAGATTATAAACATCAACATTTTATTTATTTAAAGATAAATACAGAGGGAAAAAGTCATACAGAGACAAATGATCAATAGAAATCCTATCTTAAGACCCTCCTCTACCTACATAGAAACTCTCCAGGTATTATACTCACAGGAATTGGTGTTAGCGTCTGTTTTTCCAACCTTCAAGTGCCTGCTTGAGTTCTGCTGAGACTTGTTCTGCTCTTCTCCAGTCAGTAGAGCCTTTATTTCAGAAGGGATTTTTCCTTGGTCCATTGCCATACACCACTGCTTATACTGAAATATATGAAACATATTTAAGTAAAATTTTACTAGTCAGAGTTCAGGAACCACTGTTGAAATGCTAAGAACTCCCATGTCAACAAGTCAAATTGGCTGCTGGGAATTCCATCCTTCATTGTACTTCCTATTTCCAACCTAGGACATGGATGAAGCCTACCATCTTTCACAAGAGGGTGAAAAACTGCTGCTGAATCTTCTGATGACATACTGGAATATTGCTTAGATTAAAAAAGGCCCCGCTGGTTAAAAGACTGTCTCCTCACAGTGTGCTACCAATTAGAATTCATCTCTTTTGGCTAAATGATCACATTATTACTTCTACTCCTAAAATAAATACTTTTGTAATTCCCTTCTCTCTTTCATAAGCATTCATTAAACATCTGCTTTCTTTTTTATAATATATTTTTATTGATTTCAGAGAGGGAGAGGGAGCGGGAGAGAGAGATAGAAACATCTATGAGAGAAAATCATCGATTGGTTGCCTTGTGCATGCCCCCAACTGGGGACAGAGTCCACAACCCGGGCATGTGCCCTTGACCAGTATGGATCCCGGGATCCTTCATCCACGCTCTATCCACTAAGCCAAACCAGCTAGGGCATCTACTTTCTACCAGAGTGTATACTAGGAATTAGGGTATATAAAGATTAAATACTCCAAAGACTATGCCTTCAAGTGGCTTACATTACAGAAGGTGAGAAATAATTATAGCATAAGTCAAATTCAATATACTGAAAAAATATTACTGAATAGTGTATATCTGAACTCTCTTTATACCCCAACCTTATTTTCGTATCTTCTAAAAAGTGGAGGTAGCCTGTCCTACTTTTGTAATGACCAAGGTACTATTATCTCTCTCTTCTCCAACCTGTCACCTCCTCCCTTGAGCTCACAGTAACGGGGTTTCTATTTTCTTACATTTCTACAACCACCACCCAAAATCTGAATAAATAAATGAAAGAATGAAACATGCCAAATAAATAAATGTTTAAACAAATGGTATCATACTATTCATATTGTAGCATATTGTTATATTGCTTTTTCTACTTAGCCATATATTGTAAATGTTTTTCTATATTAATAAACATATAGGTGTACTATGATTTTTATTGGGTGTAAAGTAGTCCAATATATGAATGTGCTATCATTTATTTAACCAACCCATTATTGTACATTTGGGTTATTTTCCATTATTTTCCTATCATAAACAATCCCTCAATGACATAGTCATGTACATTCCACTCCTACTAGTAGTGTATGAAAATGCTTATTTGCCCACATCCTGAATGACCAACAAATATGCTTTCCCATGTCTGTCAAATGGATCGTGAAAACTGGTTTCTTCGTGTTTTAATGCTTTGACTGGGAAGCTTACGTTGATTTTTTTCATGTATTTATTGACAGACTTTCTTACCATTTCCAGTTCCTCTCTGAGGGCACATATGGCTCTTTCCCGGCTGGATACCAATTCTTCCAAATATTGATACCTCAGTTTCTTTCTGGCCCGGCATTCTCTTGCACTCTGCCGGCTCCTCTCAAGTTTTGCCTTCAAGTCAATTTTGGCTGGCTTCCGGCCACGTTTGCCAGGCTTCTTTACTTTGCCTCCAATCACCTTCAGCAAAAAAGACAAGAAATAATTTTTTTGTCTTAGTTCTGTGTCTAGGAAAGTGACTATGCCTGCATACTAGCATGGAAAATATTTATAAATAATAAATAAATAAATGAAGAATGGAACTAAAAAAGCATAATCCCATCAAATGCCTTATGAGGCTTTGCTTCATAATTTGTTTTCCTGGTACCTTTGATACCATGAATTTGCAAGAAGAAATAATATAAGTTTTTATTATTTCTTTAATAATAAACTTCAAATAGCTTAATAATAAACTTTATAAGCCATATGTAACTGAATTATTGCCAAATTTTTATTGACTTGATAAAATAATAAGTTAAAAAAATCAATATTCAAAATTGTAAGTTTACTATGACCTCAAAGAAGAAAGGATGTTGTTAACAAAAGGTCAACGAATATTTCTCTGATGGGTATGATTATAAACAGCTTTTTCTCACCTGTATTTTTAATGATTTTTAAATGTTTACAATTAGAAAAACAAAATTTGTATGTAAAATTATGTATATATAAAAACAAATAGGTATCCTAAGCAATTTGACAATAAATTTCCTGTTCAAATGTGAGCAGTCCCTGAAATCCTCAGGGTACTTCTCTTCTGCCTTTATTATTTTTTAAAAAGTAATTCTTGCCAAAACCAGTTTGGCTCAGTGGATGGAGCGTCGGTCTGTGGACTGAAGAGTCCCGGGTTCGATTCCGGTCAGGGGCATGTACATTGGTTGCGGGCATATCCCCGGTGGGGGGTGTGCAGGAGGCAGCTGGTCGATGTTTCTCATCAATGTTTCTGGCTCTCTATCCCTCTCCCTTTTTCTCTGTAAAAAGTCAATAAAATATATTTAAAAAATATAAAAATAATTCTTTATTGTTGAAAGTATTACATATGTGTGCCCCCCCCCCCGCCCTGCCTGTCCCCTCCCCGCAGGCCTGCAGCACTCTACTGTCTGTGTCCATGGGTTATGCACATATGCATACATGGCTTCTCTCCTTTCCTTTAGAAGCCCATAATTATAGTAAAATTTTCTACACTGTCTCAGGAGATTTCTACCTGATATTCATTTACCTGCATAGGCACAGGTTTCTGGTGACAGGCAAAGTAACTTAATCTCCTTCATTATTTAGTTTTGGAACCTCCCCACGTCCTTACACAAGATGTAACCATGAGGATGATGATGTTTTACATACATGAGCCTGAACTTACACATCAAATTTTTTTTTTTTTTAAAGAAGTCCTTTGAAAGGCGGGGGCGGGGGGTTACCTTTATTCCAATGAACAAATTTGTTTGGAAAGTGCTCAGGAGCCAATTTCTGACAAGCCACAATACAATATGCTTTTAGAAAAGGCTAATGTTATTTTAGAGCAATAGATTTTTCTTTAAATTCCCAAACAACTGGATTATCCACTGTTTATCAGACAAGGTTCTGAATGATGTCCTGTTCTTTCTGAAAGTTACCCTCGGAGAATAAAAAGTACATGGAAAGTAGTATTTCGGAGGCTTTAGAGGCCATTGTAAAAGAGAAGATGCAAATCAAATGCTGACAGGTCATTAGAATACCTGTAGAAATCTTCCCAGGTAACAAAACTCAAAGGATTTGTTTGAAATCACTATTAATATCACACACTAACAATGCCCTATAAAAATCAGATCATTACTAAGTATCATGGTTGGGTCAAGAAAAACCACACTTTAAATGTGGATCAGCCACATTTACCAGACCCTGTTTTATAACATGATGGTTAGCCACTGCATCTAGCATTTTATAGGATGGCTCTGAAATGAAACTGAAGAGGGAAAAAGTCTTTCCTTCCCACCACCATCTTGAAAGCTAGCTGCTTCAGTACTACTCCCAAATTAGTTTCAACTTTTCAAAAACTGGTCTTTTAAAGCTATTCTATTCTGCATCATCATGTCTTTGTTCCAATATAATAATATATATCTCAGGAAATTTTCCCTCAGGGTCAAATATTTGATTAGCAATTCCAGGATGACTAGTTGATCCAAATATTACCCTGGGCTAAATTATGCTTATCAACTGCACAACTTTATTTATTTAAATATACTTTATTGATTTATTACAGAGAGGAAGGAAGAGTGATAGTTAGAAACATCGATGAGAGAAAAACATCGACCAGCCTCCTCCTGCACGCTCCCCACTGGGGATGTGCCCGCAACCAAGGCACATGCCCTTGACCAGAATCAAACCGGGGACCTTTCAGTCCGCAGGCTGATGCTCTATCCACTGAGCTAAACCAGTTTCGGCTCAACTGCACAATTTTAATAAAGCATTTTGAAATCGCCTTAATTAAAACAAAGTGTACTTGCTTTGCTACAGCTTTTAAAAAACAATATATTTACAGCGGAAACTCCTGTCTATAGAGAAATAAATGGTAACCACATCTATTCTTTATGTTGTAAAATGAGTCATCACACAACACTATCTATATTGCCGATTTTAATTAATGCAGGAGTGGCTGCTTTGAGAAGCCAACAAGAGAACACAGAGTACTTCACAGATTTCATTGATTTCTGAAACACACCTAGCACAGTCATAAAAATCAAACAGAAGTTATAACCCTTTGTTTAGTTTTCATGGTAGCAAAATATTTAAATTGGAACTATCTTATTCCCCCTTTTATTAGAAAGGCAGAGTAAATTAATCCAGGGTTCCTGTATTTTATATCACCTCCTGTAAAATTTTAAGTCACATAACACCACCTCTCTAGCTTAACTTTTCCTCAGGAATAAATAAAATTTTTGGCTTTTGGTGCAAGCTAAAACTTCATCAGTGTACAGTTTTCAAAAGTCAAGTATATCACAGAATTATTTTAAATTTTAAGTGTAATAATGTGTGACAGCACTTTGTAAAGGAAAGGTTATTATACACATGTAGGTTACTATACTAGGTTGCCAACTACAGTAGTCAATGAAACTTTATATATTTCATAAGCCATAAAGATGGCAGGACGAATAGGAGAAGTTAATTAGAAACTAGGAACCAGAAACTAAAACTGAAACCAACCTCACAAATTCCTTAAATATCCCTGGGCCAAAAGTCATTCGTACCTATGTTTCATAAAATTTTCACAAATCCAGTGATAACCACAGTGCCCCCTTGCTTTCTCCTATTTCTTCTGTGAGGAAGCTTTTTTTCCTCACCTGTATTTTTTATGATTTTCGAATGTTTCTAATTTATGTGTTCAAAAAGCCTGGGAATTAAGAAAAAAACGACTGGATTCAGCCAAGAGAGAGTTCCTGATAATTCTAAATTTAGCCATTACAGAGAAAGACAGAATAGTTTGCAAAGGTCTGAGCATAGAGGGCACAGGCTTCCCAGTCAACAGGTTTAACTTCCTCAGGAAGAGGGGGCATGACTATAGCTGCAGGCTCTTTAGGGGCTTATGAGAAGAGGAGATTTCCAGGGACCAGATTAAATCCTGTTTCAAAGGGGCTTGAGTCACTTTAGGCACAAGAACAACATAAATGCAGGGCTAAATCGGGGGGTACAAAGAGGGAGCACACACAGTGGACAAGGCCTTGACTTAGGCACTCTACATGTTCTCTCATTTTACCATTTCAGGTGAGGTAAACCCTACAATCCTCATCTTTTTCAGGGAAAGGGGAACAATAACTCATTTATCCAACAACCATTTATTGAATACCCACTATGCCCCCAAACACTGTCAAACTCCAGGAATATCAATATAAGATAGGGTCCTTACTTTTAATGTATTTAGACTCGTGAAACACAGCAGATAGAAAAAAAAAACACACACACACACACCAATAATATTATAAATGACAGGATAATTGTATCTACAGGAGTGCTGGTAGTGGATACACATGCAGATATGCATAGCGATCTCTTTATTGCATAGATAACCAATTTTTTTTTTTATGACAAAATTTTAGCTCAGAGATTTTCAATGTCAGAGAAGGGGCTAGACCCAAGTCCTCTGATTTGCATTATAGCAACTTGTCATACGGTAACTCACTGTCATACGATAACTCGCTGTCATCAAGCATGACTATTCTCCCTAGGTTCCTAGGTAATACTCTTTAACTTGCACATATAGTTCCCCAAAAAGGCTCTACCAAAAACTGACAGGTGTTAAGTACACACTGCTATATTAATGCTATGTAGTCATTCATTTAATCCAGCTCACTGTGGCATTAGGCACCTGGGAAGGCAGTGGTGAGGTTAACAAACCTGTTCATTTTATGCTTCCTTGAAATTTTTGTTGTGACTCTCCACACCCACCCACTGTAGTCATGCCAATTTATTACTTTATAAAATCTCCTCCTCTCTATTCCTACCACCTACATTAGGCAGGGATCTCAGGGATTATTACAATAGGTTCCCAATGGGTCTCCCTCCCCCACTCCTCCCTTCCCTAGTTAATCCATCTTGCAAAGAGCTGCCAAAGGAACCTTTCTTTTCAGCTTATGATGATCGCATTTTTAATTTAGTGTATTGGTTCGTTTTAAGAGTAACACCTGATCATTACAGGGAGGGTGAACTTTAATGGCCTTTTGGCCATGTCACTCTCAAGCTCAAGTGAAGACCTTTGGCTTAGCACTGCTTACTAGGTCACCACATCCAGCATGTGAGTTTCCTGTGGCTGCTGTAACCATTACCACAAACTTGGTGGCTTAAAATAACTTTAATGTCCCTTTACAGAGAATTGGCCAATTCCTGCTCTAGCTTGGGACAGAATACTTATTTGCAGGTGCAATAAGCTTTAGAACAGGATATTCCCTTTCCCTGATTTTCTGGGGGACTCCTATTCTTCCTTACAGGTTCATTCCTACTGTGTGAACCATGACTGACATAACCAAACCATTAGGCATCCATTCCAGTGCCCCGAAACCATTTTGCCTCTACTGCCCTCATTTCTTACTTCACTATATTGTAATTATCTTCCTATGTGTCTGCCTTGGCCACTGAAATGTAAGCTCCAAAGAATAGTTATGAACTCTTATTGACCT